GAGAGAGAGAGAGAGAGAGAGAGAGAGAGAGAGAGAGAGAGAGAGAGAGAGAGAGAGAGAGAGAGAGAGAGAGAGATGCCATCATTAAGCTTGCTTTTGCTTGTCGATGGATGGGTACAGGAGGAGTCTCCAGCAGCATACAGTCTTGCTCAGCAGCTTTTGCAGAGTTGTGCAGATGTTCTGCAGCCGTATGTCCAGAGATTTCTTTTGTCAGTGATTGTTGATGGAAGGGGTGGTGAAAGTGAGCTAGTGGAACATTACCACGAGCTCATTTATGAGATCTATCAAGTTGCGCCACAGGTGCTGATCACAGTGTTGCCGAGCTTGGCCCAGGAGCTGGAGGTGAGTCCTTTCAGCGAGCAGTCTATCTGACCACGCTGTCCTCTTAAGTTGTTAATTGACATACGAGCAAACACAGATCTGCTACTTTGTTTTATGAGGATCTGGTTATGCAGTGTCTTTGACTGCTATGTGATGCTAAGAGCGATATCTAGTTGTTTGATTTTGTAACCTGATCATCTTCACTCTACCATGCTATGTCTTGAATCACGCCTTTTCTACTGCCATTGGGGTGGTGTGCATATGATGCTACTTTGGGTTATGGCTGCTATGTGAGCGATATCCAGTTGTTTGATGTTGTAACCTGATCATCTTCTCTCCACCGTGCTATGTCTTGAATCGTGCCTTTTCTACTGGTATTAGGGTGGTGTGCATATGATGCTACTTTGCATTATGAGGATCTGGTTGTGCAGTGTTTTTGGCTGCTATGTGATGCTGTGAGCAACATCCAGTTGTTTGATGTTGCAACCTGCCCATCTTCTCTCTACCGTGCTATGGCTTGAATCACACCTTTTCTACTGGTATTGGGGTGGTGTGCCTATGATTCCATTTGTATTTTCGCTCCAAGGGAGTCAGTATGACTATTATCTGCTGGGTGTGCTGATACCTCGTTCATGCTGAGAATTGTACTGGTACCCTTGTAAAGTCAGATCGAACGGTAGCCTCCCCACAATCCTACCAACTATGCACACTCCCTCAAGAATTTGCACCCTCGGTTTGACCACCCAGACGAGTGTTATGGTTTTGCAGCATATCTTGGGAATGTGTGAACGTTTCTTGGGAGAAGTTACAGAATTATCCCATTCTGTACTGAACAGCCGAACTAAATTGTAATGGGTGAACAAGTAATAGCATTCAGGAGCTGCCAGCGATAAAATACAACTCTTGTAGGTAACAAGGCGAGGGCGGGAAAAAAGTGCGTGACAAGCAGCTCAAGTCTCTGTTTGTTTGCGGTAGCATGGTTGGTGTTGGTAACACGGTGGCTAATGATGTAAACCACCAGTAATGCAGACCCTATATTGTCGAACCTATCATTTTCTGCTCCCGAGGTAAATCGAACCGGTTGCTGACAGGCTGGTACATTGAAGATGTCGTTTAGTCGTCTGTCCCCAATTCGATATGTGATCTGCCCCCATGTAGTATTTCACCACTCCGACAAGGCCTTGCTGGTTTTGACCAACAGCAGGCAGATGGCCGAAGGCCAGCGTGCATTCGCTTCATACAGCTGCAAGTTTCAATGGAAGGCTCCTGGAACTGATGGTTTGAGGCGAATAATATCTCAATGGCTGCAGATGGGTGCTAACTTCTAAACCCAACTTAAACCACCAGTACATGGCCGCAGGCAACTGGAGAACCTGTTTTGCGCCTCTCAGGAAATTTAGGAGGCCGAGTGCCGTAGATCAAATGAATCGACGGTGGGCGGCCTCGGAAAGGGGCCCACGGCCGATAGCTAGCATGTACTGGTGGTTTAAGGGTAAACCCCTCCAGCACCTCAGTCCGGAATGGTATCACAGCTACTGCATAGGCTGCTGGTTCAGCAGGTTGCCCTACCCAAAAAGATGATGGCTGCATCTAACGTGTGAAAGGAATACTGGTGTTTGAAAGCTCGTTTGTCTTCTGAAGTGCACCATTGGTAATTTTTGCACGAAACTTTTTTTTGGTGTAGGGTTGTTGGGCATTTCCCTTCCCACTCCCCCTCCATCTCCCCTGCCAACCCCCTGCACTGCGGCTTTTCAACTTCTTTTCAGAGTGTCTGATGTATGATGTATGGGGAGAGTGAGAGTTCGTTTGGGAGTTTTTATTTCTTTTTTTTTCTATTCTGGTAAGACCCAGTGAAGAATGTATGAATCAATTGACCTCGCTCGACAAGTGTCAAGTGGTAACCTGAGGGCTTTCAGTGGAGAGAATCTTGTTGCCAGTCATTGCTGATCAAGCTTATTGTTCTTCCTTTCGGCCACAATTTGTGTGCGCAGGTTAATCAAGTTGATAAGCGCCTAAAGACAATCCGACTCTTAGCTAGGCTTTTTTCAATACCGGGAAAGAACACAGCAAATGAGTATCAGCAACTCTTCACGGACTTTCTTAAGAGGATGAACGACAAAGACCTTGAAGTGCGCCTTGAGATGGCAAAGCTGGCAAAGTCTGTGCTTCCGTGTCTTCCAAGTAACTCGGCGGAGTCGAAGGAACTGTTGGGTAAGATTCTTGTTGTATGAAAAATCATCTGTAGAGGAAAAATAGAGGTAACCATTTGCAGTATTTTATGCGATGCAATTTGACATATTGCACCGATAGTTGATGCAAAGAAATGTTTATTGGGTTATGAACTTATGATCGCAGGTCATCCATAATGCGAACTCGAATGTGAGAAAATGCAGGACTTGATGAACTCAAAAGAAGAAGTGTAGAGATCAAGAGCGGAATAGAATGGAGAGGATAGAAGAAGAAGAAGAAGAAGAAGAAGAAGAAGAAGAAGAAGAAGAAGAAGAAGAATCATGCAAGTTGGAACCAATGTCTCCCCTCTCTGTTCTCCTCATATCGTCTCCTCCTCATGTCATCTTCTTCTCCCTTCCTCCACTTCGAAAAACCTGTAACTTACAACAATAGATGAATGAATGAACCGGAACCATATCCGAGCATTGCCCCTTATTGCCAAGGCACTCGAAAGAGATCTCCTTTCGGGCTCAACCTCTCTCCTCTCCTCTCCTCTCAGTTGCATATCTAGCTGTGGTGGTTCACCCACTTCCACCTTGGATGTTCAAAGGACGATGCAACTACGGCTTTGCCTCTCCTGTGTCTCATTCTGCCATACCCACACTCTCGCATGAAGTCCAGGAGCAGCTGGTACCCACATGGGCCTTCTAGAGACAGCGCTAACCAAGAAAGTGGAGATGGTCTACCATAGCCAAAGGTGAGTCTCCTATGTCGGTTCCTCCCTCTCTCTACGCCTCATCCTCTACACTCTTCATCTGCCGTTCTCCATATCCTAGCTTGAGGCATTTCACCCTCTACTTCCATAGCCTAGGTCTACACCCTACTACCACTACTACCGCATCACCATGTATATCTTCTTCTTCACCCTCCAGCTTCCCCACTCAGCCAGAGCTCCACCTAACTTCACCCTCTGGGTCGATCAGCAGCATGACTGCCGGGTAATGTGGTACCTCGCTCATTGCTGCCGAATGATATACTCTTGCAACTCGGCCTCCAGCCTCCCTTGGGCACGGTACTACTGCCTCTTCCGGTGTGTGCTAGGCCTACATGAAGTTCATGCCTTCGGTGGGAACATCATTGCAGCCCGCAATCCTACTTCAGGGCCTGAACCTAACCGACAAGGGTGCGGCCCCTGACTACTCGTGACCTTTTTGGAAGCTATTGGGCTCTTCGAAGCCTACCAGACCTCAGTTGGAAATTCTCGATAGGTACTTGCTAAGTTTTTCTTATTTCCTTGTCTGTGCTTGCCTTTCTAGAAGTCCGATTTCAGTCCTATCCCTGTAGTTCCCTTGTTTTCAATCTACCCCTTCCTGGTACACACAAAACACTGTACGACAACACAGTTAGTACTTCACATAGCATCATCACATAGGGATTTAGACAAATGCAAGCAAACAGCAATCGCAGTCAAGACACGGAACTCAGCAAATGAAACCAGCAAGCAGCAATCTTAGAAAACTGCAGAAATTGCAGACTGATTCTGTGCGGGTCATTGCAATTGAACCATTCAGTGAATGACTTGGTTTGCTAGAAAACATGTCCAAATCCGTAGAACGCTTCTCTGAGTTCCCTAATTTGTTGCGACAGTGTTTACATCGCCTGATGGGCCTTGATAAAAGTTCTTTTGTGGTGTTCCTTGCTTTCCAAAGGAAACTGAAGGAAAAAGGAGGGAGAACAAAGAAAGCCCGGTGCATTTCCAGCAAGGGGTAGTGCTCAGGTTGAGCATGTCTTTAAGATAACAGACTTCCTGTTACCCCCCCCAAAAAAAAATCGCCAATGTGTTGGGGAGAAATATGTGGGGATGGGTGCAACCAGTCGCGATTTCATCTCATCTTCTCTTTTTGTCCTTGGCTTAGCAGTGTTGCCCATCCTGTCCATGCCTCCCCCGTCTTCTGTCTGATGCTTTCTTTGGTTTGGATGGTATCCTTTTGATCTCTTTCTTGACTTGTATAGGAGTAGGTCATCTCCTGCGTGAGGCATCGTTTCATTGATCGTTCATGGATCAATCTTGTTTTCAGGTAAGTTCGCCTCTCATTTTAGAAATTTGTTCACGAGGTGTTTTACCTCTCTCCACCTGCTCGCAAGGTCTCTTGATTAGTTCCTTGGGCAGCTGCGGTCTCTTGATTAGTTCCTTGGGTAGCCGTGGTCTCTTGGTATCTCTTCTGTGAAATCAAATAGGGCACATTGTTTACGCTAGTTCTGTCGCGATTGTTTGTCAATGCCTACTTCGAAGGTGGGGATCATGTTGGTCTATGGCAAGGAGGGGGAGAGTTTGAAGCAGAAGCAGAGAGAAGGAAGGAATTTCACAGTTGAGATGCTGCTGTCTGTGTCTGACAGTGTTATCTTATCTGTGTGTGTGTGTGTGTGTGTGTGTGTGTGTGTGTGTGTGTGTGTGTGTGTGTGTGTGTGTGTGTCCTTCACACCCTGGCAGAAGAACTTATTTCAAGAGTGATGGATTATGATTATGAAGCCCGTTCCATGGCGGTGAAGATGATGTGTGAACTTGCAATTGCAAAGCCAAGGCTTATTCCCTGTGACAAGCTACAGAATGTTTCTGATCGGTTAAGGGATAAGAAGGTCAGTGCAACAGGGAACTAGGCTCTGCATACGCTATATAGGTTTCAACCATTGGTCCTGGGAGCTGATGGGCTCTCCCTGGTGTCACTCTTTGGTGGGTTGTTTTTACAGTTTTGGGATGAAGGCATCTGAATCAGACGGGAAAATGCAAACAAAACGGACACTTTTGGGCCGGTCATTTGAACGATGTGGTCTTCGGTGCCGTGAAGGATGATTTTATTTATTTTTTGTTTAAACAAGTTCGTATGGTATTGGGAGTATTTCGTGGAGATGCTTTAGTGCCAGCCGTCATGGCAATGGTTGTACTGAGAATGCTCAGCTAGGTCTTCCATGTGATCACGCACCTCATCTCTACTGTTCATGTCCTGTCTATCGTCGAGAACATACTGACTCCTGAGTCTTCTTTTATCCTTCCCTATGTTCTCAGCTTTGTTCAGCACCCCTTGCTTTCCCTCTCTCTTCCTTCCCATCTTTCATCTCTCTTTATTCTCTCTCCCTTTACTCTACCTGTTTCTGACAGGGTGCAAGCGGGCCATTATGACACATGGGAATGTGGGCAGCTTACACCCACCTACATCAATGTGGCGAAGCTTTGTACGTGAGAGGCACAGTAAAGGGCGAGGCAAAAAAGAATTGCAACAGAAACCGTGGAAAAGCCCAAAAGAACGGAAGTGAAAAAAGAACTGCACAGGAAAAGGTAAAACATTCAAAAGAATGTTTTCAGTGTGCTTCATGCTGTCTGCTTTTTTCTTTGTTTGTTTCACAAAGTGCACTCTTTTGTTTTATAGATATGTGACAATATACGGTGGTGTGAACCTACAGTCCGCGCTACGTGTTAATTGGGACCACATTTTTCACTTTTTAGGTTAACCCCCAAACACTAAAGTGGTATTTGATGTGTCTGAAACAATCTCACACATCTCTGAGTCACGATCCCATTTCCCAAGTCCCGGTGTCTCCTGCATAGACCAAGTCCATACAATAAGTCGATGGGCTTTGTAGGCTGCAAGTAAGAAAATATGGTCGGGCCTAGTTCATTACCGGTCTGCAGGCAGTCCGTCTCAGTCCAATGCAGCCCAGTCCCAGGAAAGTCCTTGAAAACTCTGGATGCATGGGAAGGCCAGCAGGCAAAGGATACGGTCCAAGATTTGGGGGCTGCAGTTAATACAAAAGTCCAGCAGCAGTGAAAGTCTTGACACAATTTTCATTCAAGCCTGTTGCAGAAGCGCTGTTGTGGACGAGTGCAGTTAAGCGTTGAGTGAGGCTGGGAGACAGGACCGGCTGGGCGTGAGAATCTTCCTAGTGTGAATGTGTTTTTATTTCTTTTATTTGACACACACACACACACACACACACACACACACACACACACACACACACACACACACACACACGGCATAGCCTCTGCTCCGAACATTATGAAGGGATGGTCGCTGCTAGCCTCTCCCATGAAAATTGTGATCCCTTGTCTTGTGCTCATCCCCCCCCCCCCCTGATTACTTGCCCAGCATGCCGTTGTGGCCTTGATCTGCCATGCTTAAA